ACGCCAGGAGCGCGTCTGTGGGTCAGGGAGGCCGCGGGCTGCGCGGGCCTCGGCGCTGGTCGCCCCTTCGGCTTCACCCAGGTGGGGGACGTGGCTCCTCGCGTTTGGGTTGTAGCTGGCATACTGTGCGCCCGCGGGATTTAACAGTTGTTCTACAAGGTTATACAACCATATCGTCAATTCAAGCGTTTGCTTCCATAAATAATTACCAACAAACAGGCTGTGGAATTTGAAAGGAAAGCTGAGAAACCTTTTCATCCCTGAAGCTCAGAGAGAGCTGGGGTTTTTTTGCAAATATTAACACTGAAAACACATATTTTAAAATATTTTTTTACTTAGTAAACAGAGGCATAGAAAAATGTATTGCTCCAGTGATTCTCCAGACTGCGTTTTCAACTCCCGGACCGTGAGGACCGGATCCCCGCTCAAAGGAAGTCAGTGGAGCGGTGAGGCCACTGAAGGACTACCTGTAAGAGAAATGCCCCTTTTCAGGGCGAGAACCAGCATTTCAGCCCTTCTGTGTCCTGTTTAGCTCACGGATAGTCCCATTTTCTTTGTTATTGATTAAAAAGTTGTTATCCCGGGTTCATTTTTGTGTAGCCACTACAACTACAGTAGTCCAAGTTTAAACATTTTAGTCCAATCTACAAATACATCAAAAGAAAAAAGCAGAATGTTTCTGCATTAATTGTGGCTGCTTCTCCTTACATGCTACTTCATGTGACTTTTGTAACTATAGAAGTTACACATTAAAATAGGCATAATTAGTCGTGAGACTAATTCATACCCCTCAAAATGATAGCGCAGCATATACTTATATAATGAGAGTAGTCACAGTCATATAATGTTTAATTTATTTGAATTATAACACTAATAAACCTGTAAATCTGAATATTGATTGTTCTCTGCATTACTTTTTCTGTGCTATTCTAGGTAGAGTCTTGAACAGAACAGTCAGACCTCTAGGAGATGATCCGTTAGATGTATTAATTTTGTAATAGGAAGAGGATTTTTTTTCTTAACTAGATTAACAGGTTGTTAATTTCTTCTACTCTAATTGTTTCTACATGTTCCTAGAAAGAACCAAGCGTATTCAAAACACAAAACCAGCCTTACTGATAAAGTTGCAAATTATATTGTTTTGTTTCTTCATGCTGATAAGCATTTCCACTTTCTTCTTCTGGTAACCAGTAATAGTGTTTTACAGAATCATACATGGACAAGGAAAACCAAGAGAGGGCCTCTGTATCCTTGGGCTATACATTATAGCTATATACTATTCATTTCTCTCTTGGATCCACTAACCTTGGCTTCAACATTTCTTTTAATGTGACCCGTTGTCTGTCTATGTGTAAACTTACCTAGCTTTAACTTTTGTGAACAGGGTTAAATGAGGAAACTTTTGCATGACGGTCATTTGCCAGCCTTTTAAACAGACACAATTAATGTGATACCTAGCACATTTAAAAATTA